AAAAAAAAAAAAAAAAAAAAGAAAGAAATGAATCAACTGTATTTTATGCAGAATAAGAGAATCACCACTAGCCTTGCAAATCAAAGTTAATAAAAAAATTCAACGTAAAGGGCAGGACCTATGGCTCAAGGAGTATGGCTCTAGCCCCATATACCAGAGGTGGTGGGCTCAAGTCCAGCCCTGGCCAAAAACTGCAAAAAAAAAAAAAAAAAGCTAATACTTCCATCTAAACATCTCGTGAACAATGAAAAATAACAGGTGGCTCATGCCCGTAATCCTAGCACTTTGGGAGGCTGAAGCCAACCTAAGCAGGAGAGAAACCTCATCTATACCAAAAACAGAAAAATTGGCCAGGCATGTGGTGGGTGCCTATAGTTCCAGCTACTTGGGCGGCTGAAGCTGGAGAGGATCACTTAAGTCCAGGAGGTTGCTGTGAGCTGTTACATCATAACACTCTGGCCTAAGGCAAAACTCTGTCTCAAAAAAAGAAAAAAAAGGTAAAAAATAAGAAAGTGATAAAATGTCCCTATAAACCTTTTCTCCTTGAGTATTATATTTAAAGATGGCTATTTATTCCCCTATTGATTTAACCTTCTAGGAAACTATCAAAAATATCAGAAGGTAGCCCAGATTCCAGAAGGAGACTGGAATGCCCTGCTCTGTTATTAAACAGCAAATAATTCCTTGTCAATAAATAAATAATAGTAATAAAAAATAAATAAAATTCAAGACCTAGAAACTTTTTTTTATGAGATAGAGTCCTACTCCATTGCCCCTGGTGAGTGCCATGTCATTTTATCTCACAGCAACCTCAAAATTCTGGGCCCAAGTTATCCTCTTGCCTCAGCCTCCCAAATAACTAAGATTACAGGCAATGGCAACAATGCCTTATTAGTTTTTTCTGTTTTTAACAGAGATGAGATCTCTCTCTTGCTCAGGCTGGTCTCGAACTCCTGAATTCTAGTAACCCACCTGCGTTGGTCTCTCAGAGTGTTAAGATCACAGAAGAACTAGAAACTTTTTTTTTCTTTTTTTGAGACACAGTCCCATTTTGTCGCCCTCAGTAGAGTGTCATGATGTCACAGCTCACAGCAACCTCAGTCTCTTGGGCTCAAGAAATTCTCTTGCCTCAGCCTCCCAAGGAGCTGGGCTACAGGAGCCTGCCACAATACTCGGCTGCCACAACGCCTGGCTAATTTTAGAGACCAGGGTCTTGCGCTAGCTGAGGCTGGTTTCGAACTCACGAGCTTAGGCGATCCACCTGCCTAGGCCTCCCCAGAGTGCTGGGATTATAGGCATGAGCCACCACTCCTGGCCTAGAAACTTTTCTTTTTTTCTTTTGAGACAGAGTCTCTCACTATGTTACCCTAGGTAGAATGCTGTGGCGTCATAGCTCACAGCAACCTCAAACTCCTGGGCTTAAGCAATTCTCTTGCCTCAGCCTCCCAAGTAGCTGGGACTACACACGCCCGCCACAGCACCCAGCTTTTTTTCTGTTGCAGTTGTCATCGCTGCTTACCTGGCCCAGGCTGTGCTAGGGGCACCAAGCCTGGCCTAGAAACTCTCGGTTCTACTTTTTTTTTTTTTTTTTTGACAACGAGTCTCACTCTGTTGCCCAGGATAAAGTGCTGTAGCAGCATAGCTTACAGCAACCTCAAACTCTTGGGCTCTAGCACCCCTCTAGCCTCAGTCTTCTGAGTAGCTGGGACTATAGGTGTCTGCCACAACGCCCAGCTAGTTTTTTTTTATTTTTAGTAAAGACAGGACTCCCTCTTGCTCAAGCTGGTTTCTAACTCCTGAGCTCAAGCAATCCACGTGACTTGGCCTCCCAGTGGGCTAGGATTAAAACCTCACCAGGCTGATTCTACATTTTTATTAAATCATTGGTGTAGGCTCGGCGCCTATAGCTCAACCGGCTAAGGCCCCAGCCACGTACACCTAAGGTGGCGGGTTCGAATCCCCAGCCCGGACCCGCCAAACAACAATGACGGCTGCAACCAAAAAATAGCCGGGCGCTGTGGTCCCAGCTACTTGGGAGGCGGAGGCAGGAGACTCGCTTGAGCCCAGGAGTTGGAGGTTGCTGTGAGCTGTAATGCCACGGCACTCTACCCAGGGGGACAGCTTGAGGCTCTGTCTCAAAAAAAAAAAAAAAAAAAAATCATTGGTGTAAATGTTCAAAAACCTGTATTTGACGATTAGTGGGCAATTAGATCTAGGAGTCCTAATAAACTTTATCAAGGGACATATGTTAAACAAAATTTTGAATTACACTTAAGGGCCCTTTGATAAATACATGAAGATTATCACTGGATGCTACTAGATCCTTTTAATGGAACAATGGGGGTGGGAGAGTGGAGAACCAATGAGATTAAATGTTGCTGAGAAACTAAGAAGTAACTGGAGATCCACAGTCAGTATATAAGGTAAAGTATGTAATTTCAGAAACAGTACGAAGTTTTCCAATTGCTCAACAAATAAGAAATTGCCGAACACAAAGTACTCCCAGCATTATATTGTATACTCTTTGAACAAAAATAAAGGAATTCATCATAGGTAGAATTATTTTTCTAAAAGGTGACTGACTTGTATTCTGAGCTATACCCCAGTTCAGACCAGTTATAGATGTGAAAGTAAATAATTATGATAAAACCATACATTTAGACAAGCGTGGTGAAATAACATTGTAAGGGGAAAGCATTAACCTGAATTACTGGAAATTTTAAAGAAGGCCCATTTTAAAAGTTAATTACCAGGAAACCATCATTTGGAAACACAGACAATGGTTTAAACGGAGGCCCTAGCCCTTCCTAGTCCCCCGCAAATCACCTCCAACTGGGAAAAACTCAGGGTCATCAGAACTCAAACAGTAGCACAAGTGCAAACTCAATACAGTAGCTGTTGACCACAAGGCGAAAAAAGACGCTCCAGGTGGAAAAAGAAAGGCAAAAAGACAAAACTATACTGTCTCATTCTCTCCACTGACTCTACCACATTCTCACCGAGAAAACTAACATTCGGAAATATGAGAAAGTATTCTTTTACCAAGAATAAAGCTCTTCTTTCAAATTCATAAATCGCAGGAAAATTTACAACTGTTATTTTTTATGAGACTGCAAATAACTAATGTGAAGAGGCCTTCGACTTTCACTGTTTATTTTTCAAGTATAATCTACAAATCTCTATATTGAAGGAGCTAAGGAAATTTCACCCCAAAATATGACTCCTGGCTCGGTGCCTGTGGCTCAAGCAGCTAAGGTGCCAGCCACATACACCTAAGGTGGTGAGTTCAAATCCCCAGCCCGGGAGCCAAACAACAATGATGGCTGCAACCAAAAAATGGCCAGGCGCTGTGGCGGGCGCCTGTGGTCCCAGCTACTTGGGAGGCTGAGGCAGGAGACTCGCTTGAGCCCAGGAGTTGGAGATTGCTGTGAGCTGTGATGCCATGGCACTCTACCCAGGGGGATAGCTTGAGGCTCTGTCTCAAAAAAAAAAAAAATGACTCCTTGGCATAAAGAATATTTTGAATTAAAGGCCATTCATGATCAGAAAGCACTATTTGGAAGAGGCTTTCCCTCTATCCACCTAAAACCCAAGTAACCTGAATGGGAATCAAAAGGAGCAGCTGACTTCCTTTCCAGAATGCTAACAGATCTGGCCCCAAATCATTTAAAACACAATACCTGTCTCTGAGATTAATTAATTAATTACAAATCAATCTGTTTCCCTCCATCTATTCATCCCCACCCAGCAACCACTTGCACCTATACTTTCCACATTCTCCTCCTTCTCTTCTAAAAGGCCGATAAAGGTCTCTGACCATCTGAAACATTAGGTAATCATTCTTGTGGCTCCCTCCAAGCGCATGGTATTTGGAAATTAAACCTTTCTCTTATTAACCTGCCGAAATTAAGAGTTGATCTTTCCGCGAACCAACCAAAGGAAAAGGGCGGGTTTTGCCGTGATCCCTACAACACGGAAAGAAACAGTAACAGACAGAAATCAGACAACATCACCCTCGTTTTTAAGCCTAAAGGTGTCAAGAATTGTACCCACAGTACAAATGTATTCATTTCTTCGCCCATCTTTCACCTGCACTGGATAAGAACACAAAACGGTTGAACTTGTAGCCCAAATAGTGACACTAATCAATCAGTTTCAAGAGAAGGTCACTGTTTTAAAGCGCACTTCCTTCTTGGGCCAAACGCTCGCCCTGTTATTCAGACGTTCGCCTGCAGCTACTTTGTGCTAAGCACCAAGACAGTAACATCAGACACGTGCGAGAAGCTGAGGATCCACTAGTGGCCTCAGAACGATGTTACCGCAGCTTCCTAGAGTTCTTGGGGGACTTGTAAGGAAGCACCAGGTCAAACCTAAAGTAAGAAACTCAAAGTGCCCCCCGCCCCCGTGGGAGACTGGGGGACTGCACCGGTTTCCGAAGCTGGATGCTCCAGGCGGGCCGGAGGGACCCTAAGCCACACGGGAGGGGAGGGGTGCAAGCTCGTCAGAGGCGCCGAGGGCCGGAGCGACGCACCTGGACCCCGGTGTAGTTCTCGAAGAAGAAGAGCACCATGTTCTGGTAGATGCAGTAGAGCCGGTCGTCCACCGCCTGGTAGAAACGCGCGGGCAGGAAGGCGGACAGCAGCCGCCAGACCCCCCAGGCCAGCACGTAGGTGGGCGCCGTGCCCAGGAGCACCATGCCCGGCAGCAGGTAGCGCATAGAGTACGTGTGGAGCACCAGGGACAGCAGCATCTTCCCGGCTCCGCGGCCGAGGCCGCCTGCGTTCCCCGCCCCGGGCCCTCAGGCGCGGCGAGCCGGCGGCCCCTCGCCGCCCGAGCCCCGGCAGCTGAGACGCCAAGCCCGCTGCCGGCTCCCGACCTCCGCCCCCGGCCGCATGGGCCGCGCCGCCGTCGCGAGACGAGCGAGCGAGTGCGGAGCTGTGCGCGGCTCGCGGCGGGAGGACAGGGGAAGTGGCGGCGCTCCGCGGCTCCGCAGCTCAGCAGCGCTCACGCCCCATGACCCTCAGCCTTTACCACAACCCCTGCTGGGGGCGGGGCTCCGCTGCAACAACACGCCCCCTGATTGGCCGTTCGTCACCATAGTCGGAGCGGGTCTCCACGGCAATACCACGTCTCCTGGTTGGCCGAGCTTGGCCGACGGTTGAAGCACAACTGCCCCCCGCGACGCGGATTGCCCCACTTGCGCATGCTCCGCGGTTGGCTTGTCTGCGGGCGCGAGAAAGGACGGGGCCGAGCGGAGAGGGGCGCAAGGGGACACTGAGCAGCCTCCTGTCCTGAGGCCGGGCGAGCGCGTGGGCTGGTGTGGGAGCCGTTCGGGCTGCCTGGGTCGCGCATCTCCTGGGTGCACGTCCTGCGGGCCCTTGGGCGCCTCTCGGACCCTCCAGCCCGGACGTCCCAGGGTTGGGGTGGGCGTCCTCCCCAAGGGGCGGGGTGCTGCGGACGCTGCCACTTGGAGTCAGACGACTTATGCATCCAGGAGATGTTTTCGGGCTTACTGTGGTAAGGCCGGCAAGAAGCAAGTTAGAATCCCTGAGGGTGTTGAAGGCTTTGGGGCGGCGGCAGGTTGCTGACAGCCGCCCCCACCCCCACCCCCCTCTCCTAAAGGCGAGGCCCCAGCGCTGGGCACCTGCTCCTCGGCTGCCCCCCCACCCCCACCCCCGCCAGTGCACAGGAACTTCTCCTTCTCCACCGGGGTGTTTTCAAAAGTAGACACTATCCTCCCCCCCATCACTGTGATGATGATAATGATGATACACGTTTATGCATAGCTGCAACATAAGTTTTTCACGAGGATATTTCCACACCGTTCATTAGACCTTTTGAAAATTTCGTGTTGCTTCGCTTCTCCACGTGTTTCCTGTTTGAGTTGCGTCTGTTTTTTTTTTGGCCCCCAGCGGCCTCATTTGTTCGGTAATTAAAGTGCTTGTCTGTACATGTAGAACCCAAGAAGTGCGTCCATACATAGACTTCACGAAAATCTAGGAAGGTAGGGTTGGCAAACAGATCCACAGGGCTTCTAGATTCTTCTCCCCTTTGTAGTAAAAGTGCCTTAATATGTAACTCTTTCCAAGAAAAGTTGCACTTTAAAAGAATGGCAGGACTGGAAGTTGCTCTTGAGTTGATGTGAAGGCCCAGGACATCACTAGACTTCATAAACAATGTAAACTTAGGCTACACTAAGTTAAAGAGTAATTGTGCTACAATGTTACTAGGTATTTGAAATTTTGTCGGCTTTGTCATAATCGTTTGGGACCACCATCTTACATGCAGTCCATCATTAACCAAAACATGCTTTGCATGACTGTACTAGAAAAAATGTAGGACAAAAGTTTTTATAGTCTTGAGGTGCAGAAGATTTTACATGGGATGATACTAAGGACAGTAATTACCATAAAGTACTGATTCCCAAGATGTCTTGGGATCTCCACAGAGCAGTCTGGCAAAGCAGAGCTGAATAAACTCGCCATTTCTGTACTGCAGAGTATTCAGCCTGCGCGTGGTGAGATCTCAGCATGTTGCCAGGCCCCTTGAGGAAAACCGGAATTGAGTGTACTTGAACTGGGGCTTGAAGTGTAATAACAGAAGGCTGTAATCTCATCGTTGTATTGTAAATTGACCTCCTTAAGTGGTAACGGAAAGGTTCTGATCTGTCGTACCCTGAAAAGCAAATGGATACTTGCTCCTCTCCGTGATACAATAGAAAGTTCTTTAACTAGAATCCCTCCTATCTTTCCACAAACAACTGTGCTAAATTGTAGCCAATACTCTGCCTCTTTTTGGTCAGTTCCCATTCATGCCTTTATTTTAGAAGGCAGGCTACTTCTGACAGATTTCAACAGTGGTCTGTTTTGAATATTGAACAAAATGAAGACTTCTCCCTTGGGCTGTCCCATCCCTTTTTCTTACCTAGAGGGTACAGCACTGTACCTTGCCAGTTGCCTTCCTGAGCAAGTATGCTGTGAGTGTTTGGCAGACCATTGCCGGGTTGCCTTCTTGAGATCACTGAGATGTCCAGAGAGCCACTTCTCCCATTTCAGCCCATATCCTTGGGAGAAGTTGCCCCACCCGCCCTATGGGCATGGGCTGTGTGATAAGTCTAAAGTTCCTCAAGACACTTTGAGGTGCTCCAAGGCAAAAAGTATTTTCACAATCATACTGAAATGTCACAGCTTTTTTCATCATGTTAAATTTGCAGTGGTGGGTAAATCCACTAGCCCATTTTAAGGCAGTGACACGAAAAGGCATATTAGTGGCCACCATTCATGCATTAACACTCCTGACAAAAAAACACTCGTTTCACTTGAGAATATCCTCACTGACGCAGCAGAAATATTTGATTAAATCTAACCCCTGAGTACACATCTCAAATATTTTGTGTGACTAAATGGAGTCTGCAAGCAGCATGAAAACCAAGGAGCAAGAGTTGAGTGGTGGGAAAGACCTCTGAATGTCCAGCTGAACAAGCTACTTTTTTCATTGAACATCATTTTTACTTGAAAGAATTGCAGCTAAACTGGGTGATTCTGGCACACATTTTCTCAAACAAATTATATCACTTCAAAGAAAACAGGTATTATTGCCAATAATAAAATTTGAGCTTTCCAATGAAAATTTAAATTTTGGGAAATTTATATGGTTCCATGAGCTTGACACTTCTCAGTTCTTGAAGACTTTTTTTTTTGAGACAAAATCTCACTTGGTCACCCTGGGTAGAGTGCTGTGGCATCACAGCTCACAGCAACTTCAAACTCCTGGGCTTGAGCCATCCTCTTGCTGCAGCCTCCCCGGTAGCTGGGACTATTGACATGCACCACTACGGCCAACTAGTTTTTCTATGTTTCGTAGAGATGAGAGGTTGCTGAGGCTGTTCTTAAACTCCTAAGCTCAAGCAGTCCTCTCACCTGAGCCTCCCCGAGTGCTAGGATTACAGGCTTGAGCCACCATACCCGGCAATTTTTTTTTTTTGCAGTTTCTGGCTGGGGCTGGGTTTGAAACCGCCACCTCTGTCATATGGGGCCAGTGCCCTACTCCTTTGAGCTACTGGCACCGCCCCCACAACCAGTAATTTTTTGTTTTTGTTTTTGAGATAAGGTCATGCTCTGTTGCCTAAGTGAGAGTGCAATGGCCTGATCATAGCTCACTGCACCTCAGGTGCTTGTGCTCATGTGGTCCTCCTGCCTTAGCCTCCTGAGGTGCTAAAACTACAGGCACCTACTACCACACATCATTAATTTTTTTTTTTTTTTT